CCTGTGGGGACCATCACTTGAGCCCTGTGGTTGAGCTAAATTGCTGCTTTGCTGCTGATTCCCTGGCAAAGGCTTTTTGTGCAGCTCAGGTTTTAATGGTTGACTTTGTAGGTACTTCTGGGTCTCCTGAGGGTATACCTGCGTTGTGTGGAAACTCTGGTCTGGACCTGAGTCTTTTCAGCAAACTGCTCCCCCTGCAGTTCTGTATTTCCTGACCAGTCTACACAGAGTGGGCCTGTGCTGATTAGAGGGCAGATCAGTTGTCCTTGCTATGCCCCAGTGTTTCCTGGGTGGGCCCATCTCCCCGACTGCCCACACTCCAAACACTTCCCAGGGGGTGGGCCATGTGCCGGTCCCTTGCAATGACTCACTGGCCTCTGAGTGGCTTCTTTTTTTCAGTTGTCTGTGGCCCCTCACCCTATGTGGGTTCATGGGAACACTGTTAGTAGTCATGCTGGCCTGGGGACCACCAAGGCCCTCCTCTCCCCTGCAGCCTCCAAGCAACTTCATCTGAAGGACACAGCTGTGGCTTTTGCCAGCTCTTGCTCCCTGCACTTAGCAGCTCCAGCCATGAAGTGGCCGGGATTTGAAACGGGCGGAGCCGTCCTTTCTTACTCTCATAGTGGCTTCTCTCCTGCCTTCATGCACTCTGTATGTCTCTCCTCCTCTTTCCCTGAGCTCTAGTGGCCCCAGCTTGGCTGTCGTTGCTTCTTAATAGTTGTAAGTTGGTTAATTTGTGGGAGAGAGTGACGCTGGGGACCACCTATTCTGACATCTTGACTGGAAGCCCTCAAATACTTAATGTATTTTTTTTAATAAGCACTATAACACATATTTGTTAAAGAAATGATGGCAATAAGAGATTCACTACAAATGGTAATATTTGAGTAATATTTGGATGAGTTCTAGGTGTTTTTCTCAGGCATTCTCTCNTTCTGACATCTTGACTGGAAGCCCTCAAATACTTAATGTATTTTTTTTAATAAGCACTATACACATATTTGTTAAAGAAATGATGGCAATAAGAGATTCACTAAAAATGGTAATATTTGAGTAATATTTGGATGAGTTCTAGGTGTTTTTCTCAGGCATTCTCTCACAGTTCATATCCAGTCAAATTTTGTTATCCATGATACGTGGAGTTAACAAATAATGAACCATTGTTCTTTGAGCAAATACAGGGTTAGATTCCTGTGAGCTTTTGGTCACAGCATTTTCATCAATCAATGTATAACTTTGTTTTGTGTATGTTTCTGTTTAAAGAAACATATATATTGTTGATTCATTAACATTAAACTTATGGTCAACAACACTGTCACTCAGGCTGAATGAAGCTTATGTAGCACANTAACATTAAACTTATGGTCAACAACACTGTCACTCAGGCTGAATGAAGCTTATGTAGCACAGATATTTTCTTCATAAGGCATATCACAGTCTTGTGCTTAGGAACACTAGACAGCACTTCAGCACTATACTTGGGGGCCATTATAAAGAGCAAAATCACCAACAAAAAGCACAGAAATTTGAAAAATGTGGCAAAAGGACACTTGTTTACCATATGAGAGCTGAAACAAGAAGGCAGAGTGTTGTTTTTTTGACCTTAGCTTGGAAATGTCCTTATTGGGCAACTCAAATTTTTTGCAACTGCATTTGTCCTCAAATGGCCGGAAAAGCTCCATGAGTATTAATGTTGGGCTTTCCAATCATTTTATTGAGTGGGAGAATTCACAGATACGGAATCCATAAGTAATGAGGATTGACTGTATATACGTCAGATGATATGCAGATGATTAAACTACAAAAAGGACTACTGTCGGCAGCAGTTTTAACTGAGTTGGGTACTTGATCAGTGTTCTCACTGTAGCATGCCTCAGAATTGCTTAGAGAACCTGTTAAATTACTCATTGTGGGGCCCCACCCCCAGAATTTCTGACTCAGTGGACTGGGATGAGGTTTTAGAATTGGCATTTCTAACAAGTTACTGGGTAACATTGGTGCCATGAGTCCAGGGACTACACTTTGAGAACCACCGGCCTATGCAATAATATTGCATGCTTTGAAATAGTCTATAATTCAGAATTATTCCTAAACCAGACAGGTCTTGAGTTGATTATTAATCTAAGATACATTTATGTTCATATCATGTATGAAACTGTTAAATAGTCAATATGTAAGTGTGTAAATTTTTATAATCTATTTTTTATCTTGTTTTGCTTTTAGGAACTCCTATGTTCGGTTAAGGCATTTATGCACCAACACATGGGTAACCAGCACTAGTATCCCCATAGACACAGATGAAGAGAGGCCTGTTATGTTGAAGGTAAATGTTGCTGAGTGAGTAGGATTAAGGGGTGACTGACGTGTTCCTTACAATTCATCTTCACCAGTATTAGATATTATTGTGATTAATTTCACCAAGCACGTGTGCCTGCCAGTTGCCTAGGTAGGTGAACTAAATCGGTTGCAGCAAGGCTGTGATTCAGGAGGAAGCAGCACAGATACCAGAAAAAATGTGAGCGGCATGCAAAGAGAGGAGAAAATTCCAGGAGTGTATTTACTCTGTTGAAATCGAAGTAAAGGACAAGTGTGGAAGGAATATGTTTCCAGTGAGGCTTTGGGAATGGGGCAGGAAATGGGCCTGGAAAATCTGTGTCCCTGTTGCCTTTCATAGCAGATGATGCATGTAGGGATTACTGTGTTTGGATGATCTTTTTTTTGCCTTGTATTTCTTAAACGGGACTGAGATGGGTGAGTTGTCAAAGAATATTGCATAATTATTAAAAAACTAATCTTAATGGAAAAACATTTCAGATTGGAACCTGCCAAACAAAGGAAGATAAAGAAGCATTTGCGATTGTGTCTGTGCCGCTGTCTGAGGTCCGAGACTTAGACTTTGCCAATGATGCAAATAAAGTGCTAGCCACCACAGTTAAAAAGCTGGAAAATGGCACAGTAACTCAGAATGAAAGGAGGTTAGTAACTTTTAAAAATGGCTCTTAAATTATCAAGAGTCAATTGTCAATTCTTATAGTAAACCTCAAGTGAATGAATGACTCTTAGGGAATATTGAGAACATTCTCGATAGCAGCCCAGTTGCTTCTGAATGAGGTGGGAACTTGATTCCTTTTGATCATGGTGAGTGAATGAAAATGGTGAAATTAGGGCCGGCCCGGTGGCGCACTGGAGAGTGCGCCACTTGGGAGCGCGGCGGCTCTCCTGCCAGAGGGTTTGGATCCCATGTGGAGACCGGTTCCCGCTCACTGGCTGAGCGTGGTGTGGGCGCAACACCGAGGGTTGCGATCCCGTTGCCGGTCCCCGGTACGGGCGTGACACCGAGGGTTGCGATCCCATTACCGGTCAGTAAAAAAGAGACAAAAAGGAAAAGGAAAAAAAAGAAAATGGTGAAATTAAAATCTGGTGCAATATTTACTTTTCCCCTTTTAGCTTGTCTTGAAAATCATTGTTTTCAGTTACTTCTTTGATCTTTCCTTTTAAAAGCCTCATAAGAGATTCACGATAGCTTTGGATTTAGCGTTTTAAAGGTCCGAAAGGAACTTTTATGTTTTTCTGGTCTTATTTATTCAAGACACATTTCGGTACTCTGGTACCACTCAACAAACAAATATGTAATACCAAGAAAAGATCTGCAGGGTGTAGCTCTCTGTTCTTATAACTCATTCAGAGAAACTGGATCCTTAATTAAACTCTGTTTTTGGAAATAAGAGAAAGAGAATGATGTTGATAGCTGTCAATTATAGCATCCTACTTTGTGTCAAGTACTATATTAGGCACTGTAAATTTATTTAATCCTTCAAATAGCTCTGAGATGGATATTACCATTTGCATAAAGGAAAATTGAGAGGTTAAGCAAACTGGGTGAGGTCACATAGTTTATCAGTGGGGGATTCAGGCAAGTGTGCATTAAAGTCCATATGTTGTTCAGTCTATCAGAGCACAAGAACTCTCTGTATTTTCCCTCTTTATGATCTGTACATACCTTTTAATTTGAAACAAGAAAAAGCTATTTATCAATTTCCCAGGTTGTTCCCATACATTGCAGCTCTCGTGATAACTGATATTAGCACCTTGGAAAACAGTTTGGCAGTAACTAGCAAAGTGAAAGAAGCAAACACTCCATGAGTCATCAATTCCACTCCTACGCTGAATGTTCCTGAACATCTGTCAAGAGAAGCTCCTCTGCATGCGCACCAGGACACATGTTCAAGAATGTTCAGCCTTTTTCTAAATAACCCCAAACTGAAAGCCATCGAAATTTCCATCACCAGTTGAATAGATGATTAAAATTGTGATATATTTATACAATGGAATGCAGAATAGCAATGAAAGTAAATGAATTGCATCCATGTGGAATGACATGGATAAATTTTAAAAACTTTAGATTGAATGAAAGCTAGACATAACAAATGCATTCATTCACTGTAATATGATTTGTAAAGTTCAAAAACAAGCAGAAATAAACTCTATTTCTTTGGAGGTATTTAAGCAGTTGGAAGAACTATAAAGAAATGCAAGGAAATCATTGTCACAAAAATCAGGATGATGTTTCCTCTTAGAAGGGAAGGAGGAGTTACGATGGGTGAGGCATTCCAAAGGCTCCTGCCATGATCCATTTCCTGCTCTGGGAGGCGGCTTCAAGGGGTTCACTCCAGAAGTATTCCTTAACTAAACATACATGTTTTAGAAACGTTAGATATATAGTTGTCCCTTGGTATCTGTGAGGGATTGGTTCCAGGACACCTGCAGATTCCAAAATTCTCAGATGCTCAAGTCCTGATATAAAATGGCATAGTGTGCATATAATCTATGCAATCCTCCCACATACTTTAAATCATTTCTAGATTACTTATAATACTTAATACAAATTCCTATACATCACTTCATTCGCATGGGTTCAATTTAGTAACTGGCCCATGACAAATTCAAGTTTTGCTTTTTGGAACTTTGTAGAATTTTTTTTTCCCTAAAATATTTTCTATTCGCTGTTGGTTGAATCCATGGGTGCTATATCATGTATTCAGTCATTACCTCCATCCCTGGAGAGGGAAGTGAATAGAAGCCAGAGGTGGAAACAACTGCACCGCTTTAATGGACTACAGATAATTAGACATCAGAGCTCAATTATGGCAGGAAACGGATTTTGAGGTACAGATAGGAATTTTTATTTGCCTGCTATATATCTAACTCATTTTTATTAATCCAATTCTTTGACTTTGTCACTGTTATGTATACACAGAAATTTACTCAGCCTAACTTAAGAAGTCTCCCTTGCTGAGTGTTAAGGTATTCCTTGAAGAAAGGACAAATAAAGACTCAGACTATGAGTGCTCCACCATCGTTGGCTGTAACCCTGCACAAGTCATTCTTTAGTTATTGCCGGAGAGAATCTTAACCTCTCAAGATGATTCTAAGAAAGGTGGTGCACTAGGACTGATCAGTGATCATGCATTTTTATTTCTCCTGCTTCTTAAGACATCACAGCAAAGAGAAGGCTTTGCCTGAGAAATATGAAGTTGCAATTATAGATCTTAATTTAGCAATTTCAGAAAAGCCACCTCCCATCAAAATGCATTCAAAGCTGCCTGTCAGTACAGTAGAGCTTGTTGGCATAGTTGAAGGCATTTATAGGATTTTCTCAGTTTTAGATTTCAGTATAAAATTCCCTCTGAAAGTAACTGACAACTTTGACTTTTTTTTTTTCCCTGTGGAGAATGAAGTTATTATTAGGTATTATTTTTACTCAAAACCAGAAAGAATGACACTAGGTCAGAGGGAGAGTGTTAGAATGTTGCAGTTCTGTCTCCAATGCCTGTGTTGTTAGAATCCTCTTTTTCTGTCTCCTGGCTCCCCCTTTACTCACCCTGGACTCTGGAGGCACAGCTCCTGTGTTATGCTTCAAGATCCTCAACCTTAGATATTTTTCCATGGGATTTTCTGATCTTATTCTACATAACTGCATCAACAAAGTAGAGAGTATTGGGAACCTGAATAGAGAGTATTGGGAGGTAGGGGGGGAAATGGAGGGGGATTAACTGCTATTCAGAGCTTGAGGAAGTGCCACATGCAATCCTTAACCAGAATTTCTGTACCATGTTTTACCTGTGAGGGTACACAAAAATGCATGGGTTCCTCTGCAGCATCTGTAGTTCTGAGATGTAATGAATTAAGTGTTACTGAACTCTTGGTACAGGACAAGCACTGGGCCGTGCAGCATGTGCACATATGGTGCTAATGCGGTGGTGAAGGTCACAGACTGTACCCATGCCTTCATGCAGCTCATGTGCTTGAGGCAGGTTCTAATTCCCCGTGACAGAAGCTCAGGATCTAGAATAGGGCTCGTCCAACATGTGATCACCAGGTTGGATGTCTCTCTGATGTTGCTTCCTAGAGCAACATTATTTTCCCTCAAATTTTATTTGCCTGGTATTGCTATTGCTACGCCAGGTATCTTTTGTTTAGTGTTTGTCTGATGCCTCTTTTTCACTATCCTTTTATTTCAGATTTCCTGGTCATTTCATTTTAGTTATGTCTCTTATGAGCAGAAGAAGGTTGGATTTTAAAAGTCTAATCTGATAGTCTATTTTAATTTGCATTTGATAAATGATGTGTTCAGACTCATTCTTATTTTTTTTCTTTCTTTAGCATTGCTTGTCTTCTTTTCCTTCCACTTTTTTCTTGCTTTCTGTTAGATTGATAAAGTTTATATTCTCACCCTCCTTCATTTTACCTTTTTCTCTATTGCTTTAGAGGCGTTAGGTCATATTTCTTTTCTTTAGCAATTACCCTTAAATTTTTATCACGCATTTCAAATATATATTTTTTTCTAATAAAAGTTGAAGTTTCTTCCTTCCTCTCACAGAAAAGACATGCCTCAGTAAGCTTTATTCTTCGTCTCTCCTTTCTTGTAGTAGTTGTCAGGAACCACAGTTCTATGTTTATTCTTTTCATTTATCAACTTTTATTTTATATTAGATATATACAAAAGAATAATTGTACCAGGTAAGTTATAATGCACCATCTTACTTTTACTGAGAAATTACATTTCTAAAAATTGTTTTCCATTGATTAATTATATTTCTCAATATCTTGCCTTACATCTCACTTCTTCTCTCTGGGTTTATTTTTCTTTCTGCTGAAATTCATTCTTTAGTTCATTCAGTAAAGTTCGATGGGATATAATTGTTTTAGTTTTTACATATATGAAAATGTCTTTATTTGCCTCTACTCTTAAATGATACTTTATGTATGGAATGTTAGATTTGAAAATTACTTTTCTTTAGTGTTCTAAAGCTATAATTTAATTATTTTCTGGCATCTCTTGTTGCTGTTAAGAAGTCTGTCAATAGAGTTGTTATTATTTATTGGTAATTTTTCTTTACTTTCTGTAATTTCATAGATTGTTTTCCCCTTTGATGTTGATGTCCTAAAATTTCACTGTGATGTGTTTACAAGTATGTTTTATTTTTGTTTTTCCCACTTGACGTTTAGGAAATACTTTTAATCTGAATACTTATGTCTTCCTTCAATTTGGAAAATTCCCAGCCATTTTCCTTCAAAATTGCTTCTTTATGTTTTCCCTCTTTTCCCTCTTTTGGAACTCCTTTTGGATTATTATTATCCCTTAAATTCATCCTCTTTATCTTATAACTCCCCTTTTATAATTTGCCTTTATAAATCTCTCTATGCTCTTTATAAGATAGTGTCAATTTTTTGATACTATCTTGTAATTCACTAATTTTTCTTAGAGTGTGTGCAGAATAGTTTACCTTCATTAGTTAGATGCTTATTTAAATGATTATTATATTTATTTTTCAGATTTCTATTGGTTCTTCAGTATATCCACCTATTCTTTATTCATATGTGCCCTTTTAAAAATATTTGTTGTCTTAATTGTGTATAATTGCTTTTTAAAATCTCTTTAAAGATTGAAAGCACACTCATTTGGAAGCTATTTTGAAATTGCTTTATTACTTGGGTTTTGTTGGTAGTGAATTAATCCTGATCTTTTAGTCTGATGGCTGTCATTCTTAATGTCAGTTTTCCTCGTGTGATTTGGAATTTTTGCAGGCTCTTCTCAGGTGAGATTTTTGTTTTTTCTTTCTCTACATTTACTCATCTTCTTTATCAGTTTTTGGTTGCCTCCACCCGGCTCCTTCAATTAGTCTAGAGCCAGATCTGATATTGAGGGCTGAGAATTATGTCCGACGGTCATTAGAGGCTTTGGTCATTGAGATTGCAGGTGACTAGGTCCAGTTCTGTCTTTGTGCTTCCTCTGTTTCCTCCCACTGCTTCACAGACAGAGCCTGACAGGGGCCACTGAATTTTAAGGTTCCTTTAAGAGTTAGAGAAGCCCTATTTTAGTACCTGCTTTTTTATTTATCTCTAGTTTAGTTTCCTACTATGTGGTTTCATTATCCCTGTTCATCGCTGTATTTTTCTTACTTTGTTCCTGATCCATAAAGCTTTTTATTATGTTTTTAGGTGTATATGTCTTTTTTTAAAAAAATGTATACATACATACATACATACATATACACACACATGCACACACATGGGGATATATAATCCATTATTGCTGCAAGACAGAAAGTCACACAAAAAGTTTTTATTAAAAGTAAGTTAGTCAGGTTACATGAGTTAGTAGGACCTAACCACTGCCCAGTATGGAATTGGAGTTTGATCTAAAGTGAAAACAAACCAGCTTTCTTTTCCCCCACAGATAAGATGCTTAAGGTGAAAGGGCAAAAAGCAAAATAAAACAAGCAAACAAAAAGGGTTTCAACAGTTTCAGAGGTCAGAAGAGAAGGCTGGTTTTCCTGGCTCCCACTGCTTCCTCATCAGGGGAGGTTGGCTCTGCAAGTAGGGAAAACATATAGTGATTCTCAAATCAAGACTGTAAATTTTCTTCATCATCATTCCATTAATTATCACCAATTTTCAGGGCATTTGGGAGACTTTGAAGCAGAGTGATCTGTAGTTGCTCACAAAATTGTGCTTTCTTAAACATCTAATTGTAATGATTGAAACAGCAAGAAAAAAAGACTATTAATACTTTTTAAAAGAAAATGCAAATATTTATGCTGAAACTGGTCTTGTATGAGCAGATAGCAACTGAGGTTCAACTTAATCTCAGTTTGCTAAAGTAACGCGAGTTCAAAAGAATTGCTTTGTCTTTTGTTTAAAGAACAGAATCATTTGGAAGACATTAAGTCACAATTTCAAAAGAAGCTCACATCACATTTTGATGCACATGAGTTGTGTTTCGCATTTCTGTGGTTGCCTTCAGAGATTAAATTTAAGTATGTCAGTGAATCCTATCAGTTAGACACATTTTCTGAAAGAAACAGATTGAGTTAAAATTTAAAATAGGCATACCAAGAATACATAGGATCCCTGGAATTTTGGAGTGGAGTTTGTGATCCCTGGAAGTATGCTGAAATTTCTATCTGGGTGGCTAAATTCTGGATTATGGGTATGTCCACTTGGGTCTATGGAAGTTCATTCTCTTTCAGGAGGTAAATCAAGAGATAGGATCAAGATGTTTTCTAATTAAATATATTCTACACTTTTCTGGAATAATTGAAGCCCCTAAATTGTAGTTTTCTTATTGATGTGATCATGATTGGCCATGCTGATAACAGTAAGTGATTATGCTAACAGCATATGGATAAACAAAGCAAATTTAAATATTTGTTGGTCAGCATTTTGGCCTTACCCCCCAGAAAATTGTGTTTATTGAATAATTAACAAGCTGCACTTCACCATTAATAATAATTTTAAAAAGTCCTTTTGCCCTTCCAATACAGAATCGTGATCAGTTTACCCATTTTTGTAATAACTCGAACCCTGCCCCCTTCCACAATCTATCAACACAGATAGAAAATGCTAAAGAACAGGCAGAGGAAGGAGGAAGAAAAAAGTTAAGGGAGGAAAGGTTTTCAAGACTCTTTAGGTACTAAATGCCACTGACGTTCAAGTGATAGTTTTAATAATAACCAAAATGTAAAGTTGAAAACGAACATTAGAGTATGGTTTTAAGATACTATGATTTTTAGAGATCAGTTGATACTTTCATAATAATGTAAAGCATCGAATTGTTTACCCTGTCTCTATTCACAGATCATTCAAGTTTTTCCTATCCTGTACATTGGATAAATTGAAATGTGGTGAGGATTAGGAAACATAGTTTGAGTTAATAGTTAAAAAAAAAAAAAAGAATTGGAATTTAGAAGTATAGCTCTTCTCCTTTAAGCAGAACTATTTTGCTTTTCTTGTTAGTCATGGAAAAGCACCGAGTGGTGTTATCCTACCAACTCACCTGCTGTTAGGGCTCACATGCTTTATTTCATAATAGTCTTTGCAAATACTTTATTAGAGATCGAGGCAGGAGTGGAGGTTGGAGGAACTGGAAAAGGAATATTCTTTGTAGAGGTTTAGGTAAACAGTAAGTGCATTAGATATTATCTTTTGTCAATGAATGAATTTTTGTTAGACAATACTTTAAGTTTTCCAGTGTTTCAGTTCTCAGTGTTTAATTTTAAAAATTTGTTTCAAAATTAAGCACACCATAGAGTAACATTTTCTTTTCATTTTATGTTAGGTTTGTAACCAAATTATTGGAAGATCTCATCTTCTTTGTTGCTGATGTGCTTAATAATGGACAAGAAGTTCTAGATGTGGTTATCACTAAGCCAAACCGAGAACGTCAAAAATTAATGAGGGAACAAAACATATTGGCACAGGTGAATGTTCTTCATGTGCTAAATTTTCATATTTTATTTTTTGAGTCATAGTATCAGGGAAAGCCCTTGTATTGGTTATCGATTTCTGTGTAATGAATGACCCCACAACTTTGGGTCTGAAAACAACAGATGCTTCTATCTCACAGTTTCTATAGAGTAGTAGTCTAGGAGTGGCTTAGGTGGGCAGTTCTCGCTCAGGGACTTTCACCAGGCTGTAGTCAAGGTGTTGGCTGGTGTTGAGTGGGGAAAGGAAAACAGTAAGACATGGTTAATTAATTTCTATAGCTATTGCCTGAAAAGACAAAATTACTTTTTTCTTAAGTTAAAATAAAGGTTATAAACCTAATGGGGCAAAGTCTTTCTGACATTAGCAATTCTTCTATATAAAACATCTGATTTCAAGGACTTTTAGGACCTTGAATAATTATTAATATTACTTAAACTAACATATATCAAAATTTTATTTCATTATTATAAATATAAAATTCAAGGTTTAGCAAATATGGAATTATTGAAGAAATGTTAATTTGTATCATATTTCATGAACTCCAAAGGATGATTTTGCTTTCCGTTTTGCGTTCTGGTATTAATGCTTATGCCCGTGTCTCTTTGATAGACGATTTACTCATCCTACCAGCTCATCTTCAGGTGATATTACCTGTCCCTTGCTGTCCAAAAGAATTATATTCCTCAATGCTTTTTAAATGTTTCCTAACCGCTAACCTTGCCGGAATCTGGCTCACTGGGTACCACCAGCTGCCCATGTGAGTCTCTAATAAATTACATTTGAATGCTGACACATTCACTGATTTGGGCGCATCTTTGTTTACCAAGAACAGTAAGTTAACTCATTTACAAAGAGGGTTAGAAGCAATATATGGAAGCAATTTTTTGATGTCGGTTTGAGGTAATAGTGAGTGCTTTTTAAAAATATGATTTTGATTTTGGAAAGGTATAGAAAATAAGAAAAGAAACTATAGAGCCTATGGAAATAAAACTATTTTAGTTCATCAGATTTGTTTGTGTAACTCGGTGCAATCAACCATCATTATATTTCCTATTTTAATAAAATATAATTTTTAAACAAAAGTAAGCATTTTATTTAAGTCATGTTTGTTACTCAATTTAGAGAACACTTTTAGAAGTGTTTTTTTCTTCCTTAATATGTTGGTCCTTTGTCCTAAATCCCTTTTTTCTCTTTTACATTAATTCTACTCAAATAGTACAAAAGTATTTTTGAGTCAGTGTTCTAATTTGTAAAAAATTCAAAATAGGTTGCAAAACATCCACCTGCATTCATCAGAATAGGTGATTCTTTTCATTCCTGGTAGGTGTTTGGGATTCTTAAAGCACCCTTTAAAGAGAAAGCGGGAGAAGGCCCAATGCTGAGACTTGAAGATCTGGGGGACCAAAGATACGCTCCCTACAAGTACATGCTGCGTCTGTGCTACCGTGTACTGAGACATTCTCAGCAGGACTACCGGAAGAATCAGGTCAGAGGTGGCCCCCATTTTTTACTCTGTCTTATATTTAAAGTGTGGGCAAGTTTCTTTGGTTACTATTCTAAAGCACAGAAGAGAAAATAGGATGAGAAATCTCACTTTGAAATGAAATGTTTTATATTGGCAACACAAAAATGATCTGTAAGTATTTTTGAGGTGACATATGTATTTATTCTTCCATATAGAATTAGAATCATTGGGGGAGGATGTCCTGAGTCTTTATATGTGCATGGTATTAGCTCCTGCTGGGCAGGGGGCATACTGGACCTGTAATGTAAAGAGGAATGAAATATTTCTTGGCTTGAAGAACGTGTGAGGCACAGAATCGCCATGTATAGCTCAGAGTTTATGGTCTAGTGGAAAAGATATGATATGTCCATCTGAAACAGAAGGTGGAGGCAGAGAGGGGCACAAGAGAAAAAAGACAGCATGATGGGAATTCTCCGAAGGAGAGCTCAGTTGTGGCTGTGGGAACCAAGGAAAGATGCCTGGAAAAGGAAGCATTTTAATAGGATGAGAATCATTTTCATATATTGTATGGGAATAGATATTTTAGGAAGAGAGATCTGTAAACAAAGAATGATGAATGCTAGAAAGGGCACTTTTGCTCCCAGATATCTGCAGCTGTCGAGGCAGGGAACCCATGTGGATCTAGGGATGTTGCTAAAAATTGACAACTGCAAGTGAAATTTCTTTCATCTCATTTTTATCTTAAAAATAATATGTAATGTTTTGCACTGTGTCCAATAATATAAATGTTTATTTAACATAAAATTGTTTGAAATTAATTGTCATTCAGTGAATTATCATCCCATATTTCTCTTAACCAGTTTGAGGGAAGAGTGCGTCATTAGTAAGTTCTGCTGATGAGTTTAGTTCATGAGGAAGGATTGGGAGGGGAGAGGGCTGGTAAGGCAGGGTGGGCTATGTCACAGAGGGCCTACGATGTCAGGCCTAAAGGGTGGAGGTTATTGGAGAATAGTTAGTAGTATTTATTGAGTGTTTACTTTGTCCCAGGCTCAGTTTTAAGCACTTCTCATGAATTAACTCAGTTAGTTAATGCTAAGTTTGATGGGGAGCTGAGGTACAGAGAGGCTAATTAACTTGCCCATGGTTATAGTTTTAAGAATGGATCCAGTATGCAGATTCAGCCTCTTAATCATCACACTATTGCCTTTTGGTAGTTTGAAAGTATTTTGGCAAGAAAAAAAGATTTGCTTTAGGAGGACTGTGTTAAAATATTTTGGCTTCAAACTTCTGTTTAAAGATTAAGAAAGATCTAGAAAGAATATGTGAAACATTAGCCAGAAGATAAATAGTGTGGCTAGGAATGGGAGCAAGGGGAGAATATAAACAAATCCTTAAATACTTTCTAATATAAACCTAGTTATAAACATCCTTCTTTCCAATTGAAAAATGCTGTCACTAGAATTATTTTTCCTTGCTTCATTGCATTCCTTTAAGATGGCAAGATAAAATAGAGTTGTTTGTATTTTACTGCAAGAAACATAAATTTCTGGAACATTCAATGACAGACCTTCAAGCACTCAGAATCAGTGTCAGAGGTGCTCCCAATATGAGGGCCTAAATTCTTCAATGGAGGTCTGGAGTGGGAGTGGGGGGTGACAGGCTGCTCAGTGTATTCTATGTGTCTGCATTCTCTTCTTGGGTCTGGAAAAATATACTTTGTTAGACAGGCCACTCCTCCACACATACAAGCAATGCTGTATTACAGAGATTGAAATTAACAGAAAAAATCAATAGGTCTATAGAGGTTGCCTATTGCCGTCAGTCCCGTGGGGTCCTACAATGTGCACCGTCCTTGATTGCACTCAAACTCTGCAGGTGTGCTGAAGACCCTCCATCCCCCACAGCACCACCCCATGCTGCAGTGCCAGAACTCCTTGGGTTTGGTTATTCTGCTAGTCCCTGGCAGGTTTCTCTAGCAGCACATCTTAACTGGTGGCAGTTCTCAGTCTCTCCCGGTCTGGCCCACACGGTTCTTTCTCACTTCCCTCTCAGTCTTAGCTGGAGTGTCAGGGCAGGCCTTGCATGCTGAGGCACACACAGTTTCTGCTCTGCAAACACTCTTCCTTCTAGTAAACACGTGCACACACATATACCCCTACCCAGTCACACAACTCCTCCCAGGTAATTGTTTATACACTTTGGGGACCAGCTCTCGGGGTTTCTTCAGAGTATATGATTGTGAGTGATCTAGTCCTTTCTCTTCTTTGGGGTGTCTCCCCAAAAGGTAGATCATAGATCTGCCAAAGGAATGAAGAATTCTCAGCATTTGTTGAGGGTTAGATTTTATTTTCTCTCCCTTTCTCCTGGATGATCTAATTGAATCTCAGTAATAGCTGTGAAGTCTTTTTCTCATTTCTATTGAATTAAGAATGCTTTGTATTAAGCATAAAACAGCTTTCTGATGTTTTTAGAACATGATTTTAATATGTAGGCAGAAAGGCCTTCTACATTTTTACATAATTGCTTTGTTTTCCTTTATCCTTATCTATATTTTATAGTCCTAATAGGGAGTTCACTTGTGATTTAGTGTTAACATAGGTCTTTAATATTGAGTCTCCATTTATTATTATTTATAGAATTTGATAACACTTTTAATTTCATTTGATTTTTTATTAACATCTTGGATGTTTGCCTTCTTCCAGAGTATGACTATAATAGTCATAAAACTGTGTAAATCAATACATATTTAAAGTGATATACTGTAGAAGACATTTACTTTACTTAACTGGATATCCAATGCACAAAACCATCATTCTGAAAGGCCGCAAAAACGCTGCCTAGAATATAATTAGATTTATGCAACCAATATTATTTTCAAGGAACAGATACATTCCAGTAAATTTTTTTTTTTTTTCCTTTTTTTTGTCTTTTTTCGTGACCGGCAACGGATTGCAACCCTCAGTGTCGCGCCCGTACCGGACCAGGACCGGCAACGGGATTGCAACCCTCGGTGCTGCGCCCGCACCTCGCTCAGCCAGTGAGCGGCCGGTCTGTATGTGGGATCTGAACCCTTGGCAGGAGCGCCGCCACGCTCCCAAGCGGCGCACTGTAGCAGTGCGCCACCAGGCCAGCCCGATTCCAGTAAATTTTTCCTAAGGCAAAACCACTTTCTAATCAATACATTCTCCCATCATAGAAACAAAGGTACATTCCCAAGTAAAATCCCCAAGAAATTGAAGTGAAAACTTTTGACTGTGAAAGGGGTTAAGTTCACCAGTTCCGTGGTTATGTGAGATGTGTGGGTCGTACCATTGAATGTGGGAAATGAGCAGCAGTGGTTTGGGATTTGGAGAGTCACTAAAAGTGAAGAATAAGGAGCCGTTTGAAACTCCCCAGGAGCTTTCTCTTGCTCTTAGAATAACATCTTTGCTCTTTGCCGTGGTTCATGAGGACTCTTTCACCTGCCTGTCCAACTTCAGCTCTTGCTTTCTCTCCCTTGCTACGCTCTAGCCACCATGGCACCTTCTGTATATAGAACATGACAAGCTTGGTCCCAGGGCCCCGGGGCGTTTGCACTTGCCACTCCCATTGCCTAGACGGCTTCCCTCCAGGTTTTCCCATGGCTTTCTTCTTATCATTTTCACCCTAGCTCAAATGTCATTTCTTTATCATCTACCTTGTCTAAAGTTGCTGCTTTTCTCCATCCCTCTGTTTCATTTCACTTATCAACATGTAAAGTGATCATACTTGTTTATTCATTTGCTCCTTTTATCTCACTAGGATATAAAGCTAGGATATAAGCTGCATGAGAGCTTCTCTATCTTGTTTGCAGCCACATACCTAGTCTCTTGAATGGTGCCTGGAATGGAGTAGGCCTTCAAGAAATATTCACTGGGTAAATGGATCTGACCAATGAAGTAATAAATCATGTTATCTTTTTAAAGACAAAAACTATATGAAACTTTATCATTTTGCTTGAAGAGAAGATTTTATAATCATTGTAGTATATGTGATAAAAGAAATTATCTTAGGTCCACCTGGGATCTTCATGTAACATTGATCACATGCTTCATGAATGAAATATCAGAGTCAATTTACTTTCTATAATTATGCCAGAATGATTGGTTATGAATTTCAGTAAGAGTTAGAAGTAGCCTTTATTAGGCTGGTGAAACCCTAAGTTACCATGTCATGAAAACTTATTATTTAAACTAGATTTATTTTTGTTTTTCTCCACATACAAGAGTGTAAGTACCCATATTAGAAATTATTTCAAGTACATAATTTTTTGTTATAATTTAAATTGTGTATATGCTAATATGTTTTCATTTCCTACCTCAAAAAGCTCTGTTTATTGAAGAATTATTTACTTGCTTTCCTTTTGACAAATTTTTTTTAGTGAGTTTTCCATTATGAATAAATTAATCAAGATGCTGACACTGATAGGACCTGTCATTTCTAAGCTGTTTGGCAGTGCATCCTGACAGCTTTTCTTCTTTGCAGGAATACATTGCTAAGAATTTCTGTGTCATGCAATCCCAGATTGGCTACGATATTTTGGCAGAAGATACTATCACAGCTTTGTTGCACAACAACAGAAAACTACTAGAGAAACATATCACAGCAAAAGAAATAGAAACATTTGTCAGTTTGCTCAGGAGAAACCGGGAGCCAAGGTTTGAAGTAGTTCATGCAGTATTCTTTCCTGGTGGGGCTTGTGACTTTTTGTTTTATATTTAGAACTTCTACAAGTTAGAATTCTTCCATATCACTAACTATCATGGAAAAACTATGTTGGGCTTATTGCTATAGTAATTGTATATAATAAAGAGTTATTACCTCATAGGAGATCGAAGTCCTTTATAGTCTTATGTTTAAATGTAATTGATTTGTCATTCTGATAACATTTTTGTAGTACTTAGTGATTTTTCAAAATATATTTATATACACTGTCTCATTTAAATCCTTGAACATCTCATGAACTACACTGGTTGTGCATTATTATCCGCATTTTAGAGATGAGAAAATAGAAGCCTAGAGAGCAACTTGCCCAGGAATACCCCAATAGTGAGGAGTAGAATATGAAGTAAATCAAGGGTTTCTGACTCCACATCAAGTTCTCTTTCTATTGCACCATGCTGCCTTATCTGGGAGAAATGCATGCAGAAAAGTCAAGCAGATTGGAAGCCTTCTTCACTAATTGTATGGAAAATAAGAAATGGGCCTCTGAGTCCACCTGGCCATAGTCACTTTTATAAAGCGTGTGCTATAGTCCTGTTTTACTCAGCACAACATTGGCTTTGATCTGGTTTTATTGTGATATTCAGTTGTGTGGAGTCTCACTTTAGGGTAGATAAATGATTTTCTAAACATAATAAGTCACAGTGCTGTGGGATGAATATCACCAAATAAGCAGAAGCAAACATATCCTTTTCGTAACAAGGTTTGCATTAAATAAGAAGAATTGGGTGCTTAATTTCTTTCTAATGATTCATTCGATAAGCAACACTTCCGAAAAATGTTATATGGAAATATTAAAAATATATCTATATAAGCTTCTGTCATTACAGTCCAAGTTATATTTTTGTTGTGATGATCCTATAAAGTGCTCTGTCTTCACGTTCATTTGTTTTCTCTTGCCAGATTTTTGGATTATTTGTCGGATCTGTGTGTGTCTAATACCACTGCAATTCCTGTAACCCAGGAACTTATCTGTAAATTTATGTTGAGCCCAGGCAATGCAGACATTCTCATTCAAACAAAGTAAGGCCAGATAACGGAGGCATCTTTTTTCTGTCTGTTACTTGTAAACGCTGTCGTTCTTTATCATATTTGTAAGTGTGCTTCTTAATAGTTTTGTGTGTCATTTATTTCAAGGGTGGTCTCAATGCAAGTAGACAACCCCATGGAGAGCACCCTCCTTTCAGATGACATTGATGATGAAGAAGTCTGGCTCTATTGGATCGACAGCAACAAAGAACCCCATGGCAAAGCTATCAGGCACCTTGCTCAAGAAGCAAAAGAAGGCACCAAAGCTGATTTAGAAGTGCTAACCTATTACAGGTTAAGTATTGCAGAGAATCATAATTCTCAGCCTCACATAGTCACTGAGAGCTGATTCTCTGAAACTTCTAAAAGTTAGGTATCAATGAAGAGAAAATTTAAAGTCATGTCAGAACTGGGGTAGCTGAAATGTTTAGTGTTGTTCAAACTATTCAAAATAAAAGTTAGGATCTGTGCTTTCTACTTGCAATGTTCTGATTTTTCCACTAGTTTGGAATTTTTATGCAGTGCAGTTTTTTCCTATTTTTGATTAGAGTAGGGGCAGGTGAGAGACATGTTAGGACCCAGGTGATGGACTGGAGAGAGAGGTGGAACTGGGGCTGGGGGAGCTGGCCTGGCTGCAGGGGTGGCCTCAGGGGAAGTTAGCCAGAACTTTAGTATATAATGCTTATGAATATGTGGTGACCTAAGGCTTAAGAGAAACTAGTGCCTGTAGTTATGAAAGTTCAGCTGTGGCATGTGGCAGCAGTACCAAAGGTGGTCCCTGGTGGTCAATAAATTGAGATCAAGTACCTAGCTGATGCCTTTGAGTTTAAGGGATAGAAACCCAAGGCAGAAGCTCTTGGGCCAACTTGGGCCCAAATGGCAGGAGTCTGAGGAAGGCAGAGAATGCCTTGTGCTCCCTTCTTTCTACAGTTACAGCAAAAAAGCTGCAGACTATTTCTTGATCTCAGAGGCTAATGAGCCCACATGTGCTGACGCTGTTTGGACTGATCTCATTTGATTTGGAAACTGGGGTTAGACTTACAGTGTAGAGACCAGTTCCTGAAGCTGAGTGAGTCTGGGGAAGGTGGAGAGAGGGTTTTATATGAGCTGTTGTCCTGAGCCTTCAGGCTTAGTATATTTGTAATCCTAGGAAACTTAGAATTGAGAGCCTAATGACAGTGTCCACCAGACACATGTTGCTGGAACAAGTGAAAGAAATTGTAACTGAAGGGGCATAGAGACAATTTCATATATGTGTTGTCATGTGATTACTTAACCTACTACTGAAAGAGTTTGACTCCAGTATCACAAACATTTGGAAATACAGGTGTCATAAGTGTAGATACTGATTGGTACTATGATGTTTAAGAACTTTATCAAGATAAGACAAATCATGTAATCTGTTTAATATTTTTAAGGTACCAGCTAAACCTCTTTGCAAGGATGTGCTTGGATCGCCAGTATCTGGCCATAAACCAGATCTCTACGCAGCTGTCTGTAGACTTGATCCTGCGGTGTGTGTCAGATGAGAGCCTGCCCTTTGACCTCCGAGCATCTTTTTGTCGCCTTATGCTCCATATGCATGTTGACCGGGACCCCCAGGAGTCCGTGGTGCCCGTTCGCTATGCCAGACTCTGGACAGAAATCCCCACAAAGATCACCATTCATGAGTATGTTTGGGAAAATTTCTTGAGCCCTTTAAATCTAGCAGATGAACTCAAAATCAAATGTCTTCAATTTTGAAATGAAATATATGGAAAGGCATTTGTGTGTTCTAACTCAGGTTGTTAATCTTCCAAATGCAAATTTTACCTTTTTGGAGGGTAAAATGATAGCTCCTAGTGATAACAGAAACATCTTTCTGGAAACCAATTAAAAGAAATATTAATAATAATAAATAAGAATTTAAATATCTGATATTATGGTAGACTGATTTAAATGGTTTATATGTATTAATTCATTTCACAATAACCCCATTTACAGATGAGGACACAACACCTCGAAAGGTTAACTAACTTATTCAAGATGCTAGGAAGTTAAAGTATGTATGTTTTCCTAGTTTTAAACAATTACAATCAATTTAACTTGCTTTATCTTCTTACTGTCCTTGCAGATATGATTCTATAACAGACTCTTCCAGAAATGACATGAAGAGGAAATTTGCACTGACAATGGAATTTGTTGAAGAATATTTGAAAGAAGTTGTAAATCAGCCCTTTCCTTTTGGGGATAAAGAAAAAAACAAACTGACATTTGAGGTATTTTTAAACAACAACTATTTTTGAAGTCATTAAATTTTCCCTGTAAAAATTAGGTACATTGAGCATCAGAGATTTTTTTTCCCTCTAATATTTAGGATGTTTTGATAATTGGGTAGTTTAGTGCATGATGGCATGATTCTCTCAGCTGTTGATAAAAGATAGATTTGGTGGTTTGATTATACCTTGACGTTGATACAAAATATTTTATTAATAATTATCTCTTAATTACTGATTTCGTTGATTTTTGGTTTCATTTGTGTAAGCTTTATTGCATTTAATAAACAAAGACAGTTTTGCATATTTTATATGTTTGGATTGGATATATTTTTTCCATTTCCGTGGAAATGATGTTTTTATCCTCATTAAATTGTATTAAAATGCCTCAAGATATAATATATTTTGGGAATATAGTGACAAAACTATAGAGGAGGTGCTGTTACTTGATACCTGGTGTATTAGCTACCTATTGGTGTGGAACAAGTTACCCCCAAAATTAGCAGCCTAAAGTAACAAACATTTATTATCTCATAGTTTTTATGGGTCGCGAGCCTGGGAATAGCTTAGTTGGGTGGTCCTGGCTCAGGGTCTCTCATGAGGTAGCAAGCATGCTGGTGCGTGGGATCGTAGTCATCTGGGGCTAGATGGCCTTCTAACGTCTCTCATATGGCTGTTGGAGGCCATTCTTCCTTGCTGGCTGTTGACCAGACATCGCAGCTTCCTGCCACATGGAAGACTGGAGAAGTAAGTAGTGAAGGGCAAAGCCCTTGTGGGAGGCAGTAGCGCGAAGTGGCTCAGAGAATGGGCTCTCAAGTCAGGTGCATCTATTCAATCCTTCCTTTGCCATTTATTAACTTTCACAAGAGATTTATCTTCTCTTTGATTTTCTTTTCTCGTCACAGACATAAAGATGATAATAATAGCATCTTCCTCACAATTGCCTTGTAAGAAGTAAGTGAACATATACAATATATTTAATGGACTTACAACAGTGGCTGTCCCATAACTCAATTAGAATTTATTATAATGATTGTCTTAGGTTGGATGCCTGACATGACACTCTAAATGGAATTAAATATGGTCAAACAAATATTGGGCTATCAAAAACACCTTGAACCATAAATTCAAACGCTAAGGTCAGAAATGGGCCAAACAAACAAACAAACAAAAACCAGGAGGAAATAATCAGGAGAGGAATAGAATAAAATGGTAGACTTTATTTATGTATTTTTAGAAAGGCAGACTAAATTTTAAGGTGTCAAAGGGAGAATAGATTTGAATGAAAACATAACAAGGGACACCAAAGAAAGGAAGGAGAACAAAGAGTAAAATGACAATGATATTAAAAAAACAAGTAACAAGGGTCAGAGAGAAAGTGGTTGAAATGGAAGAAAGGCAAAGAAGAGCCATTATGTGAATAATTGGAGTACTTGAAGAAGAAAAACACACACAGTGAACAGAATGAAGAGAAAGGTAGGATTGGCAGACAGAGAAGCTGCTCTGCAGTGCAGTTACAACTGAGACCTCAGCCAATCTCAGGGAGCTCTGGAGCTGGGATAGTCCTTTGAAATTGTCACACATTAAGGCAAGGGGGCCGAGCTTTGTATCCTTCTATCAGCCAGCCCCTGGCTATTGGCTTCATCCTGGATGGGGTATGTAACATTAGGTAAGGCAGTTCCCTTTGGCCAAAAGCCATTCCTGGTGAGAGGCACTATAAGCTGTAAGTAGTCAGCAGCCATGATGTTCAGCAGCTGGGAAATAGGTGCCTCAGCCCTGAAGAGAGGATATGGGTGGAGCACAGTAGCCTCTACTACAATATCCACTGCAGGATTAAAAAGGTAAAACCAGAAGTCTAATTTCAGACATAAGGAAGAACTATCTGGTTAGGAATTATAAATAAGGAACTTACAGGTAAGCTGAAGTTATTAATTGTCCTGTACCAAGGAGCAGGCCAAAAACACTCCTCCGTGTGGGTGGCCCACCACAGCCACTACAGTAACCATGGCTGCCATGAAGGAGGCTAGACACCACAACCACCACGCAGATGGTCCACCAGCCACTGGAGTGAGTTGACACAAGGAGAGTCACCAGCACAGTTAAAGAAAGGAGGAGGATGTCTGTCTCCACAGAGCCCATTTCGTAGTGACGGAAGAGACATCTGTTGTATGAGATAGTAGTGGGGGACCTGATCACGCCTCTCAGCATTGGACAGATCATTTGGGCAGGAAATCAACAGAGTAACCATTATTCTTTCAGAGGGAGAGAGGAAATCTAGGATGATTAGAGGGGAGAGGGGGAGAGGAAGGAGGATGGGGCAGGATTGGACAAGGGGCATAAAGAATAGTTATAATTTGTAACAATATATATGCTAGTATATTGATTTGATCAACATATCTCAGTGTTGAACCCCCAAAATATGTATAATCAATTTTGATTCAATAAAAATTTGAAAAAAAGGAATTATAAATGAGGAACTTACAGGTAAGCTGAAGTTATTAATTACTGCTGCCTAAATCTCAGTCTTTTGCATCTTCCAAAAAAACCCATACAGATCAATAAAAAGCAAATTAAACACATAAATCCTTCACTTTCAAAATAACTAAAGGCCAGATGACAGTACATGCTTTAGTGACTGTAAGTAGAGAAACAAACATGAATTTTAAGTAGAACTACCTTATGAGATCCTAAGGCAAGCCTTTGTGGACAGTCAAGGGTTTCTTGAAAAACTGAAGAAGAGAGAAGAGGGGATTGTGTGAAAATCACCCTCAGAAAGAGAAAGTCTATCCTAACTGTGAAAATACTGAAAAATTATTCAGGTACATAAGAGCACCGACTAAATAGGAAAGGATTTAAAAGTACACAGGTAGCAGTTGTGGAAAGCAATGCTTCTAGAGACGAACAAGGTTAAAAGTAAGGGAGAGGCTCTCTTTGGAGTCTTGTTGATACAGGGAAAAGAAGCAAGGTGGAGAAATCTAAAATAACACAAGATAAAGGAAAACCAGAAAATTGAAGGACATATAACTCTTCCACTGCCCCCACCAAAAGCCAAACTTTAAAGAAACTGCACTTCACAACTCTGACAGGAGAGGGAGCTCTTGAACTAGAGATCATTTAGACCAGCTCGTACTGTGAGCCCTGTCCACGAAATGCATAGATGTCATCAGTTTTCATCTATATGAAACTGCTGTAAGACCAAACAGAATGGGAAATGAAAACATTTCAGTTGATGGAAATTCCTGTCTGGAAAACAACTGTGAAGCAGAAGCATATTGTAGCATGACACTCTAAATGGAATTAAATATGGTCAAACAAATATTGGGCTATCAAAAACACCTTGAACCATAAATTCAAACGCTAAGGTCAGAAATGGGCCAAACAAACAAACAAACAAAAACCAGGAGGAAATAATCAGGAGAGGAATAGAATAAAATGGTAGACTTTATTTATGTATTTTTAGAAA